TAAGGATAATTTGCCCATGTAAACCTCGTCAATGGTTATCTACCAATTCAGATGCACTTGTGCTGCCGCTTACATAGATTGTACGACAAAGCAGGTATATAAGCACACCAAAGAACATCAACACATGTGACTTAGACAGGATTATAATGGGGTTTCTTTGGTTCAACTGCTGTATACCTGGTGGAGACTGGGCATACGATGGATACCAATTCGGCTTTCACTATCATTTACCGAGTCCCAAAAAAGTAATTCAAGGTTATTCGAACGAAAATGCTGATAATAACGGAAGCACTAATCATCCGGTTAATAAAACCAGAATTGTATTCGTAAACACATTCGTTCACGCATACAGACTTCCCGACAGTATGTGGACCATATCATGCATAAGCTGAGTGATAGTCCGAATCAAATGATAAAGTTTTTGAAATCCGTTTGTGTCCGAACATGACAAATAAAGATAAACCCGCTGCCCCGGCTCGTTGATCCCGTCACATCATAATATGGAAATTTTCCTACCGAAATGCGATGGTAACGGTTTGATAATAAAATCACCGAAAACATAATCGGGTTTACAGTTCATAAATAGAACCATCTTTTTTGATCTTTATCGTTTCAACTTAAAAATTAGTACAAACGCCACCAACGCTCTGCTCTAGCGTACGAACAGCAAATAGCGCGTCTGTGCGTGGGTTTGAAGCTCACTGTGGCTACTGATCTTTCCATCATTCAAAAATAAAACGATTATCTTATAAAACTCGTCAAATATCGTTTAAACAAGCAACTCCGCCTTAGAAATCCATTCAGTGGATTCCGGTGGGTAAACACGATGACAGTTAGCTTACATACGAACTGCTGGCTTCCATATACTACTGTAGTTTGAGTATTGGGTGATCCACACGCGTAATTTTGTTTGAAGATTGTAAAATCAAGCATTTTTATGTCACTCGACTCTGTCTGTACTACTGAAAAAGCATTCATTGATTAAATGGGATTTTGAAATATAATTCATCTGCATCGTCACCGTTCTCAAACATCTTGGGATACACGAACAAAAATATGTCCTTCAGACAGAAATACAGAAAAATATTTATGTTGGTTGTATACGTCGCTTGAGTTCATTGTTTTCATTGGTTTGAGGGAAAGTAATGAAACCAGCGGGGTGAGTGAAAGGGAATAATTGTGATTTCATCTGATCTCCATTATCCGATCTGAATGGCATTGCCAATCTTCATGTCGACCGACTGCGTATCTGATTCGTGATTTTCAGCTTATTCCGTTAGTGACCAAAACTGAACAACAGGTTCTCTTGATCACGGATTATTACACATTCACTTTACCTCTCGCAATCGTGCATGACAATAATGGCGATAGAATTGATACTTCGGTACTTCCTTGTTAATTGCTTTAATGTTTTCTCTCTCCCTATCTATCTTTCCCATAGTATATCGGGTTATTAAGCCTGATGTTGCTGATTCAGATCAGCCTAATGGCTTTCTACTACAGCAATCGTCCTTTGGTAAGTCCTGTCGACATATCTCCGAAGTTGCCATCAATGTTCATCCCCTACTCACTCCATCTCCCTTCCACACTCCACAAGTAGTACATCCACCGCAGGATTATCAGCCTCACATGGTTGGTCGGTTAATTTCACGTTCGTCAGTGCATTACACGAATTCCGGTTGAATGCCTAAGCAATTTAGCTATCGTTTTTGGGAATGATGTATTACGAGATCGTCCGTAACGTTATTGCAACCGACCAATGCAAGCAACGTGTAACTATCCGTGTTGGAATAAATGATAAACATTAGCGCTGATTGGGAATGCATATATTGCACAGCCAAGTCACTACGAGCGCTTAGAGCATGCACAACGTTCAGTTTGTACTCTAGTGATACACGAAGACATGAGTGATCGGGAAACAGATGATCATGTTTGTTCCTAATTATTACCATATGCAATTCAGGTCCAAGGGTTGAGTGAATGAACGTATGAAATAAACCTGGTTGCATAGAACACTGTTTTCGAACAGAAAATACAGATCCGCATGTGGGCGTTCTCGATTGCTATCATTATGATTCTAATCTGGTCTGATTGTGCACAAATTCACGTTCAGATCACCGCGAATTTATTTCCGTTTTTCAGTGAGTAATACATCATTTAGGGGAATGTACTACTCGTTCAAGTCAGTTTTAAGCTTATGTCCTCGATACGTACAAGGTAAATATTTGAAGGCTAAAACGGTTTTTTTCGTGAAATGAGTATGTAAAGCTTGATTGGGCAGTGGGCTATCTCATTCAATAAGAGCATACGCTGGCAGGTGTCACGAAATTCATTTATCTTGGGACTTTGTAATGAGCGTACTTGCGCAAACTCATCATCCATGTTGATACGAATAAATCAGTTTTGCCGTGAAAAGTTTTGTGTAGTTCTATTTTCAATAGCATTCTCAATAATTTCCGTGTGAATTACAGACATCAGGATTCGCGTAATACTACTTTAGCTGAAGACAAACCTTTTGGAAATGAAACCGCCGGTTTGTGGTTAGATTCTCACCAGGGACACAGTATCTGCATATGTAGTAAACAACGAGTAGAAACGAAGTACAGGCTTGAGAGTTCACAATCAACAACCAGTATTCATTCATTTACCGAAAGTAAATGAATTTTTTCTTTAAAAATTTGCATCCAGAAAAATGTGTTCTTACTTCACCGTGTTTCGTCTCTCTCTGCCTGTCTCTCTTTTCAGGTGTTCGAAGTCGCAGAAAACTTGCTCAATCAGTCTTTGATTCAGTATCAATCTTACACCGCGGAAGAGTCCAATAGTGTACTGTTCAATGTGATGATGCCCGCGGTAAGCCAAGTCACGCTGCGTAGTTTAATCCACTTAAACCTTTGAGTTTCGACTGGGACAAACAAATATACTACACCACTAACGAGTTGCATCATAGGTGAAACAACCGACCAGTCCTCCTTTCGGGCCAACACAAAGAACTGTATCACAGATGTTTAGCAAAATGATATGTAGATATATGGCCAGGTCAGTATTTACACTCAGAAAGCCCTTGAATTACAAAAGTAGTCTTGTGCGGTCACTGCTTTCCAGAACAAGGCAGACCTTCATGGAAGATAGAAATAAGCAAAAACTACAAGACCTTAGAAAGATTTTAACAAAAATGCTCTTGCACCAGAGTGCTTCCTCATAACTATAGCAAACCGATAATAATGAAAGAAACGGTTGCGTCAGCATCTGGATTACGAGTTAAATTGTGAGTCTCATTGAACGTGATGAAGTAAGTCGTCTGCTAAAAGTATGAGATCGGCGATCACCCGAACCTACTATATCATCTATCGAACAATCAAAATACCCGTAGCAATCGAACAAATACCTATATACACTAACTCTTATCCAATTTATAAATTTCGTTCTGTTTGAGGAGTAACCTACTTGTGCACAACACAGCGACAATTATTTAGACCGATGGTTAAACAGATTCCAAATTAGAGTATCAAGCTTGTATCAACCTGTCCAGTGCTATTTGTTGGTTATCACAAACATTTCTATCGCAGGTTTCCTATAGTTTTCTACAGTAGTTTCCCACAGTACGCACTACTCTAAATGTTCCAGATAATCTAGATATAAACAGTGTAGTATTGGGATATGTTTTTCTCTTCCACAAAGGACTATTTAGTCAAAACGTTTGTGAGGTATGTACGCACAGAGATTGAAGTATAATATTATAAGTTTTCTAATGCTTGCGTAAAAAGCAATTTCGGAAAAGTTGTATTTGAATTATCCTTTTTGGTTAATTAGTTAGTAAAAGTGGATTTCACAAGATATCTTTGGTTGATCACGTTAGTTGGAAAACCCTCAACAATAGACGCATTTCCATGAAAATTATAACATGTATACACGGTTACTGAACTGAATAAAGCAGTGTAGATGCAGTTCGGTTACTGAAATTATGCTCGCGCTTGTTCGCCACTTCTCCTTAGGGTTCTCCGAGTTTTCATTTCAGCCTTCAACGTATTCATTTTTACTGAGATGGTACCTGATCTGATTCTACTAATGTACCACCAGTCTTTTGGCATATGTGCAAACTTCAAACGCATTTACCATTTTTCAGAGTTCATTTGTTAACCGTGGAGGACCTGATTGACTCAAACGCAGTTACTGTAGAGAAATAAGCGAACACGGCTGATGCCCAAATTTGTAGCCTGCCTTATTTCGGGCCAGACACGCGTGAACAGCAGGCAGACGGCTATAGACTGAAATGTCTGTGAGATGTCACATTCTCCTCGCATTGGGTGTGATCGTTTGATTTGCAGTCGAATAGTCCAGAAAGGCAGAAAAATACTCCCTTTGGCTTTAGCTGGCTATGTAATGGCACGTGTGTTCTACAGTGGATTGTGTTAAAATGTGCACCTCACCAAGAGAGGTTACACTGTACCAGCAAGTCATTTAAAGTGTCAGATGTGAGTGCGTATATGGAGTTGATCTTCGGACGGCTGGCAGCAAATAGGTCGCACCGAAACTGGACGATGTGTTCAATAACAATTTGCTCATAAATATACAATTAGCACATTATTCAGTCGCCCAAAACTGAAACAAACTTCATCTGAAATCAATCCGACCCAGTTGGACAGGTTGTTCAAGCGTATCTCGCTAGACCGGAGCAGATTAGTATCAACCGCTAGAAATCGCATGAAACTATGGGGATTCGCACAGAGGAGAAACGAAGAACCATTCATTCCACCTAATTCATGCATTTTACATTTTATATTACAGTTGAACTGCTGTGGAATTTACAACGGATCGGATTTCAAAAATGCTCTACACTTTGACAAGCGAATGCAAATTAACGGTGAAGACATCAGTAAGTGATTTTCTAAAAGTGGTGTTGGTGAGCTGAAATGTGCAGTGTAGGCGCGGAAGTGTGAAGACGAAACGGAAATGACCAAATGGGCCACAAACAACGATCAATTTATCTGTCGTTCAGGTTTTTCCAATTGCGAGAGTGAATGCGTCGAGTGTTGTCGGTGTTCCTGATTTACATCATTCATGATATTTGGAGGGTGTGGGTGGATTGAACTAATCCAGTGATACTAAGTACGTGAGGTGTCCATCCAGTGGATATTTTTTCCAACACTGAGTAACATGAAATCTATTCACTTCTGATGAAGTTGGAATATTTTACCATACGGCGTCTGCTCGACTGGAAAGTTGATCGAGACACAATCAACTCCGGCTATTGCCAAATGAATGAGTTCAAAGTGAAATTGGTCTACGGAGGACAGACACACACGTTTACTCAAAAAATAACTCTTGATAAAGTTTCAAACATTTTTATGTAGAACCTTCATGCCGTTTGTCAAAACATAACCAGATCTAAGCTTCAAATAACTTACGATTTTAAATGGCAAAAGATAAATAAGAAACATTGGGGTGTAGTAGGTTTCTGGCCGTAAAACTAATTCTCCCAAGAAAATTAAAGAAAGCAGAGTGAAGTTTCGTCGACAAGGTCAATTAAATTTTCTTTGGAACGCCAATGTTAGTATATGCTCACTTGTGAGTTCAGGGTTAAGATGTATTGTGTTTTCGTAGATTACTATCAATCACAGTAACTCATCTCGATACTACATACTGAAAACGGTTCCGTTTAATCACTCCTTGCGGGCGAAACCCTTCAAGAAAATTATCTTCTTTCATTCCATTAGTCGGGAGATATGGGTTCTAATGTGACATTGTGAACTCACCAATTTGTGATCTACTCGGTCAGTGAATGTGCCGGCGATGCCCCGTGAGATATGATAATATATGCTAATAAAATGCATAATAATTTGATCACATCAACTGCGTACGATTTCCAAGGTCTTTCAAAATCGTTTTCTGAGGTCATCTTATCTGTTATAGGTACTAAGCTATTCCAGATTTTGACAACCGCCACATATTTACTGTTTCAGTTCTTGAATACCCATATCCATGTTGCAAAATGAATGCGAATTTCACGTCGATCGATCCCTCGTGTCCGAAGACATTCACCACGGCAAACTCCAACATCAATCATGGTTGTTGGTCCGCTCTCGAGCCT